CCAGCGATCAGTGATATCCGGCGGAGACGCTAGATGAGATGCTCACTCAGACGCAGTAGGATGCGTCGCGACGGCACGCGAACGCGTCGATATTACAGATTAAACGATTCACGGCCATTTCGAGGTTAATCACCGGATACGGAATCCAGTTTGCAGATTATTCATATAATTAAACGCTCGATCGCCTCTCGTACCGCCGATGCCATTCGCTTTACCACTGTATCTCTATATATATACGTATATAGATATATATATATATATATATATATATATATACGGCCAATGGGTGCATTTAACGTCGCGAAGCTACATATGTATATACACTTCTTCGTTATCGCACGTTCCTCCCTGCGAGCCGTTGCCAAGAATTTCCAAACTTTTTAACCAACTTCCACGATCTTAAGGCCGGTACGTATGACGTGTATATGATTTCTCACACCGTAATACAGTTTTACTGGGATTCGGGGTAAAGACCGTCTTACCCCCGTACACAGTACCCATTTTCAAGAGAGCCAAGAATTCTCCACTGCAATGCGCCCACGCGGCAGTTAAACTCTTGGCGCGACGTCACGATTTAATTAGCTCGCTAATACCGTCGGCTTGCCGCACGCTAAACCAGCTCGGGCCGTTCACGTGCCAAATTTACGAGCAAGTACATCCGATACTTATTTTTTTCTTTTCTTTCATATACCCATCCTGCTTCCTGCTTGACCACTTCTAACTTTTGATCTCTCTCTTTTTTTTTTTCCTTCGTCCTTACCGACCGGAAAACTCAGCTGGACGTATCTTCCAAGAGCACGTGGTCCGGCACATTGTATCCTACAGTAAGTGTGGCCGTCGCACGTAAGCAACGGTAATGCATTCGCCTATTACGTCATCGGTGAACGCGCTCTCGCCGATGTTGTTATTTACGGCGTTACGAAGGTGTGGAAATATCCTCCCAGCCGACGCTACCGAGAATTTAAACTAGCCATTAATGACTCTGGCCGCTATAGGACAATTACCCGAGCGCGTCAAATTTTTTTTACCTTTTTTTTTCCAGACCACCGACATCGAAGACGTTTAAGCAATTAGTCGCCAGACGTTACGCTCATTTTTTTCTTATCTTGACGATTCCATCAGCTTCGAGACGATCGCGCGTCTTTTTTATCTCGTGATAAAAAAAAAAAGAAAAAAAAGAAAAGAATATCGTCTTTTATTTTTCCGCGTCAAGCGATTACCTCGAATTATCCGATACACGCTAAGTCAATAAACTAATCTATTTATTACGGGCCGACAGGCGCTCTATAAAATCGATCCACTCGATACAAGTTACACGTCCGTGTCCACGTAACGCCCAGAGCTGCCGCTTGCCGTGACGCCAAGTCCAAGTGGAATTGCGAGTGTGCAGCAGCTCGCACGGCTACGCGTAAGGCCAGGTGCGACGGGAGTCGCGGATTCTTGAAAGTGCGCATTGTGCAACAGCTACTCCCGCGGCTCCGTCGAGTCCTTAATGCAAATCAGGCAAAGGCCCGCGGAATTGAGAAGCGGCCGGACAAAGCAGTCGACGCGATTAATCTCTATCGAGCGCCAGAGAGATTCATGATCCGCTAGGCTCTCGTCAAGGCTAACAGTGGATCGTGTAATTGCATGGAGATCGCATCTCCCCGTGCGCCTACAGCATCCCGATCTATCCCCCGGTACCGTCTTGGCGCGGCGGCATCAGCTGCAATGCAGTTGCGACAATCTTTCCGACAAACGAGACGATCTGAACACCTTTCGATAATGGAACCTCTGATAAGACCTATTGATTATTATTTTTGTTATTATTATTATTTCATAGCAATTCCACATATTCCAACATCCATTCGTCGTATCGCACTGTAACGTGATTTCACGGTCACAAGGCGACTCCCGCTATCTATTCGGATAACGTTCTCAAAATTTATCAATTCCCAGAGGAATTTCGATTTTATAGCTCCGGCTCGGTCTGTTAACTTCTCGATCAATTGCCATCCGTTTCCGGGACTATTTACCTGATGCTCAACTTCGATCGGCTCTAGCAGCTTGAGCGGTCGCAAAGGTGATGTAGGTCAGTTCTCGTATTCTATGTCGTATATACTATTATAAATGTCTCATCAGAGTTGATTCTCAGGAACGCGATTTCGCTTAAGTGCATTGAGATAAGTGACGATGGTAATTAGATTCTAGAGTGCGTTTATGATAATATTCCGTTACAGATGTAAAACCGGCTTCGATTTATAGATGGAATTTATTAATGCGACCGAGAGATCATTTTTACGTCATGCTACTCGACCAAGCACGTGGATGCTGATTCGACATGAGTTTCCTGAAAGTAGGTATTCGATAACGATATGGAAGTGCATTAACTAGATGGTCGTTTCATTGGGACCAACGAGAACGATTAGACGGAGAAATTGACAGAAAATCGCAGAAATTCAAATAAATCGTGCATCAGTTATTAGACCGTGCCGGAAAATCCTTCGGCGTTACGCCGCTATAAACTTGTTATTCAAGGGCTCAAGCAGTCGTAGCTAATCCAACAATGTCGAGCGGCATGAATATGAATACACCCCACATGAAACGTCTGTTAAGCACTGTTTGTACAACAATTTATATGCGACGTGCTACTGACAGCCCGCCGGTTAGGTGTAACGTAACGCGGTGGCCATGTCCACGTATAAATATGGACAGAATATATCCACGTGACCAGCTGACTACTTGATAAAGGCACTCGGTAATTCATACGACGTGCTGTAATGTTATCTGCCATCGGAGCAGTGTCCTACGCCATTCTTGACTTCCGGTCATGTCTGGTAACTACGTATATTTACGGATAGTTGACAAATTTTGAGATAGATTTTGAAGAAAAAAATTTTGAAATTAAAAAAATTTTTTTACCGCCTAAGGCATTGTAATATTTATACTTACCTGTGTCACGTATCTAACTATTGGCATTTTTCTGCCACGGAGTAACGTGCACGTGACGCTTATTGCTTATAGCACGTGTTATTACGCTATGGCCGCACAGGCTACGATGTAAATGCAGAGTGTGGTAAACGTCAAGACAAGAAGGTACGGATTCGCGGGGATAATGACAGCCAGAGCTGGAATGTAGAGCCATCGTAAAAACAAGGTGTGGATATCTCGCTGAGGTAAAATGATAGGTCGGCTGATATCAGAGGTTTCATGTTAAACGACTTTTTTTCAAGCGAGTATTACATTATCTGCACGTTGCAGTATATTTTTCGATACATTCTACGAGAAGATTCTGATTGCATTTCCACGAAGCAATATGGACCGCGTATCTCGAGTGCGATTTGAATGAGTGATTAAAAATAAAAAATTGACTAGAATCCCGCAAATACTCGTACATTGACATGAAAGAGCTCTACGATATTCTTTCGTCGCTCCTGGCTCCTCGTTAGGCTTTGGTGTGCAATTCGTTAAAAATTTTCAAAATTTTTTTTTTTCGAGTGGCAGGTTCATTAAGGGTGATGCTTTTTTTCCCCCATTAATAGACACGCAGCATCGCGTTTCAGCCACCGGAGACGCGCTGGACCACATTTTATTCGTTATATTTTATTTGAAATTCCTGAAAGCACCGTTGTTAAGTGATACTGACCATGCGAATTTCAAGGGTCGCACAAGAGCATCCCCGAAGCGTTAATGACCGAGTGGACCACGTTTCGCAGAATCACCCGAATCTGGTGTCCGGAGATGAGTATCGTAATTGGTGAGAATTCCGAAGAAATTGCTGGGACGATTTATCATAGATATAACAATTTCGTAACGAATTCTCACACCGTTACAAAGTGTCACGGCCACTTCAACGATAACGGTAATCCATATTATCGGCTCTGTATGGAAATAAATTACGAATGAAAATTAAGAAATAAAAACGTCACTCGAATTTCACGAAATTCAAATGTGACAGGCGTCCAAATTAAATTTTTAATCTCACGCCGATATAGTGTCGCCGGGTGATTTTTTTTTTCTAGGCACCAAATAAAAATCACGCCATCGAAGTCTCTCGGTAGTAACGTAAAAATCAGTTTCTCGTAAACGCTGAATTTTCTCTATGTCGACCAACGTTATCGCAACATGCACTTTCCACGTGAACTTTACGTAAGTGGCGACGATTAAGTCGCCGTAACGGTACCCCATGAATGTACCACAGAATTTCATACAAAGGAGCTGCGTGACGAGCAAGGACGCGTGATTGCACGAAGCTGGATACGATAATGCTTTCCCTTGATTTTAATGCAAATTCGAGAAATACTCCAGGAAATACAAGACAAAAATGCCTCCCGTGCTGTTTAACTACATACTGATACTGTTATCACAATAACGCATATACATATATGCAAATGTACCTGGAACGTAGAGAACTGACCAAACAAGCAATAACAGTTACATGACAACAAACAGACCTTTCAACGCCATAACCGAAAGTATCGAGCGTATGGTCTTAGATATCTTATTTTTGGAAAAAAAAAAGAAAAAAAAAAGAGGAAACTGGCTTAGCGCCAGAATCGTGCGAAATGAGGCGCGATGCCTTTGGAAAGTCGATTCGCACTGTTTTGCAACTGAACGTGAAACGGGCGCGCACAATTGTTACATGTAGGAATCACGCATGAGATCCGCGTCTAACAACGAGCAGCCACGATTCCCAAGTATTAAGCGACAATTTCGAGTGGCATAATTTCATACGAAAAAAAAATTATACGCATTGAAACCCAAAAAGTGTATATACATATATATGCATACACGCCGACCGTAACCCGTCGCCATGCGAACAGGTAACACGTGCAAGAGTACCAGACGTACCTCTACGTGCAGCCGACGATACCTGATAAGGGTTGACGAGGGTTAAAGTTGCTTTCGGTATTCATAACCTTAAAACCATATCGACGTGTTACGTCACGGGATTGGATTTTTTGAGGAAATTGGTTCTGGAACACACGTGGTCGCACCTGAGTGAGACAATAAACAAGTCCTTCGTTACAAACGGTATTCTTTATTTCAGTGTACTCCATAATTTGTTTTTTTTTTTTAATTGTTTTTTATTATTATTATTTTTTTTCTTATACTGGCTGAGAGAAGAGTTTAGACATAAAGTAAGTAAAAAACACGAATGTAAAAGCGTTACGAATAATTCCACCAACGGGACGGTCTCTCGTGACAGAACTTGATAAAAAATCTTCTGTACCTCCCAAATCGCAGATTCAAATTGGCCTTTTCTCAGGACCGCGAACGAATTTACATGAAACTCGTGCGTGGTCCGTAGAGCAGCGTTGCGCACTCGTCTCCTCGTAAGTATACATCCATATATATATATATATATATATATATATAAGACACATGCAAAGTATCGAATATCCCGCTTGAAAAGTGGAACGCGATACTACGTCACAATTCCGTTATCAACATTAATCATCCTGCGTCCCGTAAACTTTGCGTCGAAACTTACGGAGAAATAAGTCACCAACGATTTCGCTGATATTTACTTCCAAGTAAATTTTGCACGGACGAGGCATTGGAATAGGAAAAAATGCACAAGATGCAATTTAACCAAAATAAAAAAACGACTGATCGTCATTCGCCGATGACTTTTACCCACGAGATCAATATACGCTACGTCTGTTTTCTACTGTCGTCACTTGGCGGGCCATTTCGTTTAATTGTTATTATACATGTATACACCTCCATATGACACAGCTGTATATATGTATATCTATATACAATGTCTCGTTATCACAGACCCCTATACCCACAAGAAGCGACCGCGAGGATCGTCGAGACGACACCTAATGGTCTCTGGTTCCGTAAGTCGCCGGTAGAGGCGCAGAGGCAACCTGTTACGTTTCCTACGTGAACGAGCGGTACACAATTTATGTCTGACGCGGGAACGAAAATCGACGTCTGCGCGACGAGCTGGAGAAAAGGACGTGGCTGGTAGGTGGGCGAGTTAATCGCGCCGACGTGTAAACGTGCGAGGGAGGCAGACTGAGCGAAAAGAAAAAAAAAAACAAGATTGGCCAAGTATCGCGGAATAATAATTTTAAAGTGTCAACGAGGACGAGGATGATTAATCGGCTGATCTGAATATGACTAGTAAAATATATAAGCAGATATATATATATATATATATATACATATACATATGCACATATCAAACATCTGTGCGATTCCTCATTCCGTTTTCTCGACCTACTCGGCTCCGCTCGGCTACCTTCGGTCCCGCTCGGGAGGAGGAAACTTACGAGAGCAACCAGCATACCCCTCGATCTCACCTGATCCCATCCGCAAGATGAGAATCGGACGAAAGGAACGTCCAGAAAGGAACGAAGCGTCGCGAGAGAGGTCAGAGGTCGATTATCGTTATCAATGTATCCCGACCAATGATATCGATCTCGCTCGTCTTTACATGTAGACAAATCACGCGTCTACGTACAAGCGCATAAGGGGATTGCAGAGCGCACAGGCTTTCTGCTTTTTCGAATTTTTTTCTTTTTTTTTTTGAACTTTGATGCAATTACGTCATAACGGCTATTACGCAATAACCTTACGAGGAGGCTTCGACTCGTTCTTCGCGGGCAAATATCGACGAGGATACAACGAATTTGACGTGTGATAACCCAACGCGGGTAAAGAAACTCGATTCGATGCGGTTTATATATATATATATATATATCTATAGAGCCAAGTTAAAAGGTGCGATTCTCGGTTGGTGCAAATATTCAATAACGGGGACGATGGACACGGGGCTTTATTAGCTACCCTATAAAACACACAGAAATTATAGGAATCCTCTGGGCTCGTTTGCATATATCGAATGTCGTTTATAACGCGTCGCTTCACGACGACTCTTTACAACGATTAGGATTAACGCCTAGCTAAGACGATGCATTCGTTACATTTTTCATTTTTTATTATTCTCTCTCTCTCTCTCTCTCTCTCTCTCTCTCTCTCTCTCTCATTTCCCACTCAATCCTCATCCATTCTTCTCACTTTAGCATAGTCAGTCCCATGTACGTACATATAGCGTTTTTAAAGATAGATCTCGTAGGATATCTACACGATGTAGTATATATATATATATATATATATTACACAATCATCAGTTGAGTTGGGTATGCTCATAGCGTAAAATACAGGATTCAAGTACAATAGGAGCGATATGTGATATTTCAGGCATTCCGTAGGATGGGACCCGCAGACCGTGAAAAGTCGCGCAACTCGGCACAATGATATCGGAATGATAACGCGTGATTGCGATGCAGTGAACTCCGAGTGTACTCGGTGTCTGAGTTCTGTATAAAAGGCTAAATGGACTTGGGGTATCCAAAGATGACGCAAAACTAATTAGTCACTCGTCAGTTGGTGACCATGTGAATACAGTGTCCGTACCGGCAATACGTATAAATAATTACATTACTTTTCTGTTCACCCTCTATACATAGTCGCGTAATCGACAACACGTCAACTGGACAATCCCACGTGTGTTTCGCGTGTTTCGAGTAAAACAGACTTTTCGATGACAGCAGCTCGATATATAGGATAACTCGGACCTCTACATCATATGCGATCCGCACGACAAGCTGATAACTCATATGATGCTTTTCTGTGTAAACGAGCGCTGCCAATTAGCGTGATTTTTTTTTACGGGTTCAAAAAAAATTTTTTCAAAAAAAAATATTTCAAATCGATATCGTACACTGAATCGGATCGCGGACATGTCTCTGTCCCATATAAGCACGGTAATTAAGTCAGGTGTGATATGGTATCACGTGGGTGAAATAGTAACAGTTTAACAACCCACGCCGGTCGGCCGAGGCGCTTTTAATTGCGAGATAAGAAATGAGGTCGTCGGCACCTGAGGATAACGTGAGGTCGGGTAGCAGGTTGAAATGAGAAGATAAAAAAAAGGTTGTTTGAGGGTGAAAGATGTGAACGAGACTCGCGTGTGTACCGGGTAGACGTAATACGAGGTCCATTGAGTGGATGAAAAACCGGAAGTTGAAAAATCAGGAGACGAAAAGTGTACGAGGTATGGGAATAACGAGCGATCCAAATAATTGGCGCCAGTTTCGAATAAGATGCGAGATTAAATTGAAAATAAATAATTCGATCGCGTAATCAGGGAATCGATAAAAATTAGCTCGGTCGATTCGACGATGAAAAATGATATAAAATAAAAATGGTCCAAAGGAGCCGACTCCGATGGCTCTATGGACCGTGGATGCGAACGAGGCAACCATTAATTTTTATGCACGGAGAAAAAGCGAGAGTAAATCAGCGCGAAAAATCTTTCGAATATCATGAGCCACTTTTTGGTTGTTGTGCGACAAACGGGAGTGCAAATATATATATATATGCGATCCCTGTTACATTATTTTTTTTTTTTTCTTTCAATTTTTATCCAGTATTCTCTTCTCTCACTCGCTCGCTCGCTCGCTCTCTTCTCTCTCTCTCTGATTCACGTGTCTCGCCATCACTCGGACTCTGTCCACCGTCGTTTTTCCCAACGAGAGCTAATTGGGGAAATCTTAGGAGGCAGCACGTCTATAAGCAGCCTCGTTTGAAAAAGATCAATCGAATCGAAATCAATCGAATCCAATAATCCTCACGGTAGATCACGTCAACGTGGCACCTCGAGCTCTGCGATAAGGTCTCTCGATTAATTAATCCAGGCCAGGACAACGGACAGAATAAGAAAGAGACGATACTGACAATTTGATATCGCCTTATTTCTCGATTCCTAATCAAAGGTCAGAGGTTACGACGAACCCAGTCTCGACGAGCCATAATTCAATGATCTATCAATCGATCGATTCCAATGAGAAAAAAATTGTCTTTTTTTCCCCCTAATTTCCTTTCCTTCCTTCCATCCGTAATACCCACTCTTGTATTGACCCTTTAATACCCACTTCTCTTCATTCCACATATTCAAGCACGAGCAACAAGACTTCCCATATCCACCCCGAGGCGCATTATCCATAAAATCAATGCGTCCTGCTAGCGGTTCACGCCTCAACGAATGAACGCGGTGTCTAGCAGAGGGAAGGTAAAGGTAATCAACTAGGTAGGTAATTAACGTGCGGCACGTCGAGCCTGGGGCAGAGGCGAGTCACTGCTACCGTGCGGCGGAGCGCAGCCGTTGCACGTTTAAGTCACTAAATCATCGCTACGAGAGACACGAGATTTCGAGAGAGAGAGAGAGAGACACGAGAGCGAGAGAGGGAATTAGAAAAATATAAATTTGCGGGAAATTCAAAAAAAAAAAAATAAATAAAAATTCAAAACAAAAATTCAAAATTCACTGCAATACAAGCATCACGTCACACATAACCTCGTCGCAAAAACTTGTCAAGTATCTCGTAGCCCTCTTTCGATTATCGTCTCTCTCGAAATCGTTATCAGTTTCATCGACAAGGAGCGACCGGCGGTCCATTCGTACGTTCGTCCATTAATTATAACACGTTTGAGTCACTACTGTCATTATACGTTTTGCACAGAAATTCATCCAAGCGAAATCCCAAGGTTCTCGCAGTGTCCATTAATATCCTGTTGTTCTACACGATGATCACGGTCGATAACGTTGATAAGGACGATCTCTCGGTTGCAGCAAGTGTACCAGTGTTTTGTATACCTCATCGCACAATAGGTACTGCCTATACTATATACACCATCCGCTTTGACACTTAGGCGATCGCGTTGCGTTCACTTCGCGAGGCGACAGTCACCGCTTTGTTTTATCCAGCAGGGAGACGAAGAACCGTCCGACGAAGCAGCGTAGAAACAGGCGCACTTGGGGCGTCGATAATAAACACGACAATGCGGCACATTACGCGTCCCTCCGCGTGCATGTGTATTTACGGTTACGGTCACGGACGCGTTTATGGCCCGAACTTCGCTCGTTACTCCGTACACGTATACTACGTGCACCGTTACGGGAGCTATCCTTTCGTTTGGTGGTTTAGTCATTTCATTTTACACGCTTCGTGAATGCCGTCATCATCGGACGAGGAGGGCTTACGGGGAAGGGTCATCGAGGGATACCGTGGCGCCCCTCAATAATAATTTTTCCTTTAGCAGCGAGAAGAAGACGTTGAAAGGAGTCTTGGAAGAGAGAGAGAGAGAGAGAGAGAGAGAAATTTAAGTGAAAGAGAACAAGGGACACTTGCGCAAACGGTAAACAAATAAATAACTGTAAGGCGTCTCGACGCCAGCTGCGAATCCTGCCTTCGATTCCCTTGGGCGAGTACCGCTTCTTCTTTTCCGCTCGTTAACAAGGTACAATTTCTTATTCCCTTCTCGTTACGACCCTTCGAGTCGAGGATGGGTATAGCAGGTAACCAGGGTGGTCAGGAAGGGTCGGATAGGTACGGTTCATCCCTTTTCTAAGAAAGTTAACCCTTTCCATCGGTTCCCCCTCACAGCCTCCCCGTTTTAATCTGGTCCAAGTAAATCTCGAGGAGTCGAATCTACTTCCCGAAGACGAGAGAGCTCGTCTCGCGCGTCTCCCGCTTCCGCTCGATACTTCGGTCGTGCCTCTTATTCCCACAGTCCTTGTCACTGCCGACACACTTCTTCACTCTTCGGCCTGAAGCAGGGTGCGGAAGTCCTGCTGTAGCTTGGACTCGTGGTAGCTCCAAATGTCACTGAAGTCCTCGTCGGGGAAGATGGCCTTGTCCTCTGGGATCGTCGCGGTAGGGGAAGACGAGTAGAACTTGATCTCCAGGTCCCTGTGGCCATTAGGCGAAGTGACAATCTCGGTGGAGACCTCGAGACCCTGGGACGGCACTCCGGGGGTGCTCGAGGAGGCGCTGGATCCGGTCGACGAGGTGCTACCTCTCCAGGAGGTGACCTTGCCCTTGGAAGCCTCCGTCAGCCCGCGATCACCAATCACGCCGACGCTCCTGTTCGGCAGGATCTCCTCGCTGAAGTAGCTCGTGGGGTCGCTCCAGCTGCGCCTGAGGATGGTGCCGTTCTCGCGTTCCATGTGAAGGCGCGGTGCCTCGTCAAAGAGTTCCACGGGGGTCGTCTCCTGGCACAGCGGCCGGGACAGGAACAGAGGAACATGGGAGTAATGTACATTGCTGTAGTCGTTGCACTGGGGCGCCTGAAGGGGCGGCGTCAGAAACGGGGAATAGCCATTCTGATCGACGTCCCAGATCAAACCGGAAGGATCGCAGTAGCGACACTGACACGAACCCGGACCACCTTCTGCGAGACCTTCCTCGCAGCCCGTGGCAGTTTCACCGTAATCATGAATAAACGGTATACCGGTACCGTTCCGATAGTTCTTGGTATGGTTAACTCGTACCGGAGGCACCACAACGTTCCTGTTCCCATCGAGCACTTTCACCATGTGCCGGTGGTGATACCTCTGCCTGGTGTCGACGATCTCGTGCGTCGACTGCGGCCTCCCATAACTTTCACGGGGCACGGGTGGCCGCCTGTGGCCACGATGAGCCTCGTACCTCTCGTAGCAAACCGGCACATACGGCTTCAGGGTAACTATGCTAGACTGTTCGGAAATGGCCGTGCCGAGCTCATCCGGTTTCGCGGTATCGGCAGGACCGGCGACGTTCGGTGGCTTCCGGTCCTTCTTTCTGCGCTTCCGCGGCTTTATTATCCGCGGCAGACTGTTCTCGGAGTTGTTCGAACCGGAACTCTCGTCGCTCGCGATACTCAGGGAATCTATGTTCGCGACGTTACTGCCACCATTGTCCTTCCCTGCAGTCGACTCCTTGGTCGTTAATTTCTTCGCGGGTTCACCGCTGCCCCTCTGACCCCGCGCCGGCGGGCATCTACCGGCGTTCGCGTTACTCGCACTCGTCACGTTCGCACTGTTGTTGCTCGTCGTATTGTTACTGTTACCGATTGCGACGTTGCCGTTGCTCATGGCGCCATTGTTGATCTTGCCGCGATTATGAAAACGACCAGCGAGTATAAGCGGCGCACCCTGAGTCTGAATGGCCAGTCTGGTCAGAGGACTCCTGTTGTGCAGATGAGAGGACAGCTGCTCGTTCTCCTTGATCGGCTGCTGCTGTTGCTGCTGAGCTCCCGGCGAGGGCGAGGAGCGCTGATTAGTTCGTCGAAGACTCGACGTCATGGATATCAGGGGTGCACCGGCCCAAGTGCCAGGAGGCGCGTACTGCACCGGACATTGTTCGTTATTGTAATTCTGCAGATAACGAGGCTTTCCCCTCGCCCCGTTCTCCTGCTTCTTTGCGCTCTTGTGAGCGCCAGCTCTCGCGTTCGACGTTATCAGACAGCTACCGATGTATCGCTCCACTTCCAGGGCGCCCTGTGAGGCCGGGCTCATTTTACAATCCGAGACACCGTGCCACAGTATAATCAGGCCTTGCCGCCGAGCTTTCTTATTATTCCGCCACTTCCGCGATAACGCAGTCGTACCACCGAATTCATGTCACATTGGCCAATTTATCAACTGCCGGAATCGTCACACGAGCTCGAACAGCGTATTTATTTATATCCCATGTCTCTTCGCGTGTCGCTTAACAGAGTACGTAATACTTTGCTCGCGCCGTGCATCCAGTCCTTCCGTCCCTGCCGACAACAAACTAACCAGATACGAAAACGGACCAGCCAACCATAGAACAAACGTAGCCGCGGCCCGAGCGACACTGACGTTCGTGCGGTCGCGCGCGCCGACACCGTCTCGACTCGAACAAACCCGAACTCTCCCCACCAGTGGCGCCGCCACGATCGGCTACCCCCACTACGATCCAAGAGACACAGTTCCATTCCGAGGACCTGCCTCCCCACCACAGTCGCCTTCATCCCTTCCCCGGGAACGGATCGTAGTAGCTCGACGCCGCACAGAACTGTACCATGCCAGTGTATACGCCTGGCGTTACTCTGTCGCTTTGGTGCGCCAAGGAGTGGATGGCAGGCCTTCTTCGCAGTGTCCGAGATTAATTTGCACAGATCATCGTCACTGGACACGAGGAACGCCTAGACGTGATTCTGACTGGATCATGCTTACCGTACTTATACAAGCAATCAGATAGGAAACATCGATACTCGATTAACGTTGGGCATTACAGGCATATGGGCTACGTAAAGAAAGCGTAGAAGGAGGTTCTTCTTTTGAGTCTTTATCCAGGAGGAAAAAATAGATGAAAAAGGGAACGGCAAGGAGCAGCCGAGTGTGAAGAGAATGGCGATGGAGGATAGAAGGAGCTAGAGGAGGTTCTCGATGGAGAGAGTGGCGATAATGTTGGATGAGTGGCGGGCACCCCCGCATCTGGGTCACCGCTCTCGAAACTAGGTCAGAAGTCATCAATCGGCCGCGGCACGCCACACGCGGCGAACCTTGGAACCTCGCGACCCACCTACTCACCACCGCGGCTTTTCTCATCTGGAGCGAAATAACTCGATACGTACGGCCACTTTTCCACCCCGCGAATACCTAATGACGCTAATGGCTCTTCGGGAGTCTCGAAACTTTATGCCATCTTGATAGTTTACTGATACGGACTATATTGGGCTCTCGGAGGCTTCGCACGGAAGTCCATATCCGGGCGGTACCTCTTTCTCAAGCAGTTAATGCTAACGTGCATGTATAACAGTTCAAAGGTTAATGCAATTTTAAGAGTTCCTTGGGATATTTATACGACCTGTACAGCTGCAGTTGGTCGTTGCTCGTATAGCGGAAGCTATATACAGCAATTCGTTCGTGAGGTGTAACGGGAAAAAATTAAGTCCCGGGAAATCGTGAAATTCTCGAGCGGGTTAATCATTCGTTATCTCGTCACGTTGTACATTTTTTTTTTTTTTTTTTTTTTTTTTTTTTTTTTTTTTTTTTTTT